ACTTCAACTACTATTTGGTGGATTGTGATGCAATTTGGTAAACCATCCCCATTTTTGCATCCTACTTACTATTTCTTCTCTAACTACTAATAAATCACTTTCAACTCCTTCCCATCTCAGTGTTCTGCTCTCGGATCCAGACCTTCAAAAACCACGACACATTCTGCTTGAGATTCTCCATCATGCTGCTGGGACGTCTGGTTTGTTTATGTCGGCGACCTCAGGCTTGGTGGAGTTTCCTATTTGGAGATCTGACTGGAAAAACCCCGTCATAGCAATTGTTCCTTTTGGAGATCGTGTTGTTTTTTTTACTGAGTACTGATTACTGAGCATAATTCATTATCAGAGCGGCAGGAAGTAGCGTGTGTTTACAGGGAAATAGGACTCTGTGGGGAGGAAGAACTTATATTATCAAATACCATTCAAGCAGGGCTTTTAAATGACTGCAATTATTCTTTGAAGCACAGTGAGCCGGTGAAGGACTCTCTTGAGAACAGAGTGGCGGATTAACTATATGTCACCCTGGTGCTGGCGAAATGTAATAGGGGATTGCACGGAAACACTGCAAGCTGAGGAAGCCACAAGCTACAGTGGATCAATTTGACTTATTATACAGGTTTCCCGCATAACAAACCTTTCCACCAATGCATTTAGTTATCAAAGTTGAGCAAACAGTCAAACAATAAATATAGCAATAAGAAAAAGGAACAGACACTTATTAGTAGGGCTGACCCAGGATCTATCAAAGGTCATCGCAGTCCCAAATCCTCACATGATCTGACCTCACTAATCCTCGTCGTGTAAGGTTTTCTAATGAGGTATGTGTAACATACTTGATTAGTTGAGTCATAATCACACAATCAAATGACCCATCAGACAGACTTAAGTTAATTGCATTGAGGGGCCTCAAACTGCTGTCAACACATCCTAATGCACGTGTAGGCGTCTCCTCATTTCTGTCCTTGCACCAGTCGCGTTATTCCTCTTCAGGCTTTCATTTCTACTTTTTGTATGGCCTCACCTTTGCCCACTTTTCTCTGTTTCCCTCTCCACCTCCTACCTCAGTGTAATAAATCACCTAACCCGCCCGTCTCTCTGACCCGGACAAGTATCGCTGAGACGACGGATCTCTATATTTAAAACCACATCAAACCCGTCATGCAAAGGGAGAGAGAGAGAGAACCAACGGTAGCTTGTGGACCCACAGACTCAGAGAGCCAGAGAGAGAAATATAAGTATATGCCGAATATCGACCATGTGTTGGTCAGAATAACCCCTATTTTTATGATCTGCTGTCTTTCTACAAAGCCAATGCAAACCTCCGACAGGCGAACATTAGTTCCTGCCTGTCACTGACCTCCATCGTAGGAAAGGGAAATAGTGTGGAAAGTTAACCTAACAGGTCTTCCATCATCATTCAGAGCAGATTGTCAGAGAGCAACGAGGGCTAGAAGACCAGCAACACCTGTAGCCCGCTGCAGCTGTGGAGTCCCATTTACTCCGTCAGATCAGCTGGCACTGGAGGAGACAGCTGATCAACAGCTGTTTTGTTGTTTCTTGTGAAATCCGGCCAAAATACCTCTTATCTTCTCATCCACTTGTTGATCTGTCCTTCATATCACTACACACTTAATCATTCGCTATGGCCTAAGAGGTCTAGTACACCAGCGGCTCATTCTGCATGTTTGGAAGGGAGTGATTCGCTTGTGCAGACCTGCCCTTTTGGTCTTTCTGCAATCTTCTCTGTGGGCCAGAAAGTAGCGCTCCTCCAGACAACTTACGCACGCCTGTGGTAAGAAAAGCAGCCCGTATTTATGGCCTCCTTTATCTCTGCTCGCCCACTGAAACATATTTCTACAGAGGCTAAAATGGGCATCCCGGGCCCCTAAATCTTATGACACATCAGACCTCTGAACGGTTAACACAGCCGGCTGGAGGAAGGAGACCAGTGGCTGATCAATAGAAACAGCATTTGCTCTCATTGTTTTTCCTCCTCTCAGCAGAATCTCCATTCTCATAAAGAATCTGCTGCGCGCAATTAGGGTGTGCTGTCTGACGGTGTCTTGGGTTGACCGGGGATTCGATTTAGAAAAATGGTGGAGGGGGAGGGAGTGAGGTGATAATGGAATTGAAAGGCTTAGAAACTGGCTAATGCCTGATATTTAAAAGCATTGCAAAGCATAAAATATGACAAGGAAAAATTCAGGCATGAATTAATGTTGATATGCAGAACAGTATATTTGCATATTGGTATCCTAGATATTCATTGAAACAGTTAACAGTTAACTACTTCAGCAACTTTGAACAGTTTATAGACCGTAATACAATATTTGTTTAACAAATACATTCGGTCATCATGCATTCTTAATCTGAAATTCTTGATGGTCAGATGGTGTCAGCAGCAACAGCATGCAGAGCATAGACATTTAATTAGCTAATTAAGAACGTGCACATCACATTGGTGATGGACAAGCAATAGTAGTTTTTAGATTGCATTTACTTTTTTGAATTTTTAACGGATTAATGGATGGGTGCCAAGAAGTGGTCACCCTCCATGAAACTTTGGTTACGCCTTCAGTTCGACACCAACATCCATCCATCCATCTTCAAACCGCTCATCCTGCACACAGGGTCGCGGGGGGGCCGGAGGCTACTTCGGGCAACAATGAACTTTCATTTTTATTCCAAGTTCTGCCGCATTTTATGCTCCTGTTCCTGTCACATAATTCTCCAGTTGTTCAAACAGGAAAGGAAGAGGGAAAAAAGTGTTTCTGGAAGTTTCTTCCTTCACAGTACAGATTTTCACCAAGACCTATAAACGACATAAAGGAAGAAGTATTGTTAAATTCAGGAATTATAGTGAATATGTGAGAAAGAGGTGTGTTTCATGACCTGGACTAACTGGCCTGTGCCGATACACCGAGTGTGATCCAGCCACAGGGACTGTTTGTGAGCCCTGTAGCGCATGCCGACACACACACACACACACACACACACACACACACACACAGAGCTGTGTATGACACAGCAGTACTGTAACCACTTTTCTGAGGTAATGTCGGGCCTGGGAGTTCCAGCACGTCCTGGCCGTGCATGCTCGGGTGAGACGGGGGACTGGTTAGAGCACTCTCACTGCCCATTACTGCTGAACATGCACACCGATCCTCCACACATAGAGCGTTTTCTTTTCCACTCATTTACAATGCTAAGCAAGTACTGTCTGTCCCTCCACCTCTCTTCCTCACTCTCATTTTTATTAAAGCTAAAGTGATTTATTTTTATAACACACGTCCGAATCTGGTTTTGCCGTCTTATCTTATCTTATGGGGCAGGCGCGATATATGAGCATGAGATAAGGAGATATATTGACCATTTACTTTTATTGAAAGACACAAAGCTCGTCAATGTTAGAACGGCAATAACAAGGGAAGCTTTATGAAAAGATGGAGGGGATAAACTTCAAAAGAAAAATGTGATTTTAATGTGAAGCAATATCCCCAAACAAAAGCCTCTATTATCGAACTGTCCTCAGCCAAAGGTGCAGGAGCGTCTCCATCTTTTTGTCACATTATGCTTGAGAAAAAACAATAAATGTCCTTGTTTAAGAACACAGAAAGAAATATTCATAGCAAATATGTTGTTGGTTGGTTCATCTAAAATACAAAGAGCACATTTGCTCAGATGACTTAGGTTTTATTTGTCTATTTGAGATTTCGGCTTCACCCAAATGGAATTCTTTTAATTTGTATCTAACAAAAATGACCTTTAGGCTCCTCATCTGTGGTCTCCATACAAGAGGAGGAAGGATCCCACCTGTCGCCCCCTGACACACCCTGACTGCTGCTGACCTCTGAGTGTGTGTGTGTGTGTGTGTGTGTGCACGCTCTCCCCTCGGAGTTCTTACAGGCAGCGCTGGGCTTCAGATCAGAGCAACGTCACGTTGCATTAAATCCATCTGAAAACACCTGATGCGTAAAATTGTTTTTCCTTTGCCCCTCGGAGGCGACAGACAGCCATCGCTGCCTTCCATCGTGTTGCTTCTACCATTTGCAATAGTCCGGCAGAAGGAAGGTCGCAGTTGTCCTGTTTATATTTTAATTGGATGGAGAATGAGGACCATAGAACAGGACAAAAACCGGTTAAATCGCTCTGAGAGAGAGAGAGAGAGTCCCAGGGGAGCTCAAGGACAGCATAGTTAATGGGGCATCAGACAGATGACAGGAAAGAAAGGAAATGGGCCGGTTGTTAAAAGAAAGACCGGCTGAAAGGCGAGACACGTGACACGTGTTGGACAATTTCCATTAGTGACATAAAGCTGAATAGTGGTAACAGGCTTGGACAGTGGATATTTGGCCCGTTCTGTGGTTTCTTTTACGGTTTCTCTTCTACAGCTGGGAATGCTTTTTACATTTAAAAGACTTTAAAGCAGTTTTCACACCTGGCTTCGATGTGGATGCCATTCTGTGACTGAAGATTATTTTTTAATGGGGGGGGGGGTCGGGCTCCTTCCTTCCGGAGCAGTTGTCACTCAGCTTGTCCGTCGGGCTGTGGTTGACAACCTGGATCCCAGGCCGCGGCGGGACGTCAGCACCCATCAGCGGCTCACACGGGTCAGTGGGTCTGACCACGTGCACACTAGTGAATTCTGCAGGCAGGTTGAGAGTTGCTGTGGTGCATCCTGAGCGATTAACGCTAGATTGGGGGGGTGGGGGGGATTTGCTACCTCAGCGCAAAGCCTGGAGGATCGATCATCCCGGACACGCACGCAGGTTTATGAGCCGCCCCGTACACTCGCACCCAAGGCTGCTGCCATCAATCCTGCCAGGTGTGAGCTCCATGCTGCTCTGCATCACATCATCGGTACTACACCGTGTTGGCTGTTGCCACGGACGACGGACAGCTACTGTAGTGATACCGCAACCTCACCCTCCAGTGGGATACATCCCAGAATGCATCTGCACTTTAAAAACGATGGTATAATGAAAACAGAACCAGACAAGTGAAGGAAAAAGGTTCAGACATTTTAATTGAGGGGTTGAACTCTTCCAATGGTGGAGAATGAGAAATAAAAAATATGCTACGAAAATGTGTTATTGATATTTATCTTGCGATCTACATTCTGTGGTCTTGTATGAAATATTGTCTGAAACAAATTAAAAAATGTCGGGTTAGTCGTCCAGCAAAGGAGACAGTTTGCAGAGACGACTTCTATCCCCGTGTTATTGGTGAGTTTCTGGAAACGGGGGCTCTTCAGCCTTTGTAAGGGAACTCTGGTTTGTGGGACGACAGCATGGAGCAGTGACTTATGACCAATCGCAACACAGATTGTCTAAGTGCTTCATCTCCAACACAACTGTGTGATGGTGTTGATGTCTCCACTCATTAAATGAGTGCTTTATCTGTGCTCTGGAAATACAACTGTAAAATGACACCCTCAGACAGCATGTTTCCCAAAGGAAATGTAGCTAACACTGAAATCCCACGTGAGGATTTAATTAAAAAATAATAATTAGCCACTGTCCTAGAAAAAAATCATGTGATATCCTCCAGATAAGGACACACAGAGATGAACCATTTGCAAGGCTGAAGGTTTGAACAAGTCGGCTAGCGTGAAAAACAGGGATCATCTTTATTTCTTCATAATAAATATAGACTCACATCTTAACAATTACAGTGGACCATTATTATACAAAGGATCTAAGAAGGCGCTGAGAGAGAGAAGATTTGGGAAATTCTGTGAAATTCAAGCGCTCACTTACAAATCAGCTTGCTGAATTTTCACAATGTATTTTCTCATTTTCATGGGAGGGAATTTTTTGTTAAATTAACTTAATGTATCCATTAAATACCAACACTTGCACCACACCGATTCGATAAGTGGACAACCACACACTCATTGAAGAACATGTGGTGAATGAGAGCTGTTGGTAATCTACTGCCCCCTAGTGTGAGCAGGATCCCTCATCTCCATGATCCCCCCCCCCCCACACCCCTCCAGGGCCTGCTGAGCTACAGCGTGTTCTCTCTCCGAGAGATCTGTGCATATTCACGAGTTAAAGGATCTGCTCCGTGCTAGAGGCGGAGATGTCAAGTAGCCTCCAGGCAGCATACGGGTTGAGCTCCTCCTGGTCTCGACACAGAGCCCACACGTACATCATCCTCAGCACTTTCTCCTGGGAGGGAGGAACACAGACGGGTACACTTATCCTTAGCGGTTCATTCGCATCGTTGTAGAACAGCAAAAACAGACACACTTTAAATGCCATTTGTGATTGAGACCAATCAAATGCAAAAATGATTTGAGGTTGTGTCAGCCATTAGAGACGAAAAAGAAAATAAATAGGCCAGACTTGTACCTCGCTTTGCGAACAATAAGTGATGATCAATGGGATTTCATATCAAATAGAAAATCATATGGAAAACTAATAAAATATTGAAATGTTATCAAAATATATTGACTGATATTCCTCTACGTATGGAAGCCACGTTGGGTTTTCTATATGTGTCTGTCTGAGACCTATAAGAGACAATTAACTAGTAAGGACTCATTTACCAAAGGCGAATACTCGTATTAATCAGATGGCTATGATCCTCAATACCGAGACATACCACCAAGTTAGAAAGGGGTCTCCGACCAGAGGTTGGCTGTTTAACGTGTACTCCATAAGGACAGTGTGTCATTCAATGTACAGGCCATTGGATCCACCATTGACCCCTGATGGTACCCTTTAAATCTGAGCACTGGGCGGATGCCAACTGCATACAGGTGTCCCTGAGGAGCCCCGTGTGGACAATATGGCTGATTTATAACCAATAAAGCTTTAGTGTGTCTAAATAATTGTCACACCAAAATAAAACGTGTCTTAATTGGCCAATAAAATGTTCTTGGTACATCATATATAAGTTCCAAGACATTTAAGATTATGAAAGCTATAACCCGTTTTAAATGTTTTTTACTTTTATCATATAACTGATTCTAGCAAATTGTGCGTGCAAAACTTACAGGGTCTCCTTCCACCACCTCTCCTTTGGTGTTTCGGATCACCATGACTAACTGAGCCTGGAAGGTGATAATCAGCACGGGACCCTGGTCCATCATCTTCCCCATGGCCAACTGGAGTAAACGATACATAAATACATAAACACATACGTCACCGAACCAACAAATGCACGTTTTAGATTGCATTCAGCGGAGCGTGGTCTGGGAGACTTACATCGACATTGTCAATGTCCAGGATCTTGGAGTGGAAATGAAGTCCCATGGCCTTGGCTTGCTGTATTGGGTGAGCCAGCTGGCTGTACGTCTGCACACACAGCATGGAGAAAAGTAAGATGACATCACGCACGCCCCGATAAGTACACCGATGTGCTCCGAGGGCTGTCGGAATGCTGCCGTTACATATCTCGACATCTTTCTATCTTTACATAAGAAGCCTATCGTTTCTGTGTTTCAGCGCTTGGAGACCGGAGTTACGGTGTAAGAAAAGCCGTACCGCTTCATAACACCAGTCCTTCAATACTTCCAGCTCCCCTCGGATCATCGCCTGCATGGAGAAAGAGCAAACACGTGAGAGGATAAATCACGACCTGACAGAGGTCAACAAAATCCCAACGCAGATATGTACTACAATTCAATGTGGCATCTCTTGTCACAAACGTCAAGCCGTTTGTCCTAACCTGATATATTCTTTTACAAAACCATCACAAATGGATTCAATGATTGTATTACACAGACACTGGTGTTGTGCAGTTGGTGTTTGCAGTGCGGAGTACCTCCAGGATATTGGGGATGATATCTCGTTCGCACTGTTTGAGGAAGGAATCCTTGTCAAACGATGGGTCCGCCTTCAAAATCTCCGTTAGCACCTCAGACATCTCCGTCTTAGAAAACATCCCCCCTGAACACGCACGAGGACCGGGAGCACAGACGATAAGAAGGTGGTTACACGCGTTAGAGCGTGCTCACGTCGACCGGCCTACTGCTGGACTCGAAGCACGTCTCACTTAAAGACACACAGTCTGTGATTAATGCACACTATCAAGCCAGAGGTCTCTCACCGAGGAGGTCCGTCATCCTGTCGGTGACAGCGCGGGACGCTCTGATGAGCGTGTTGTCGCTCTCATCGTACTTCATCTTCATCTCAAAGAATCCTGCAGCGAAAAGGAAGAACGAGAGCACGACCTCAAACGGCACCCCGAGGCTTCGACTCCTTCATCAGCAAATCCTTCAATAGTCACAGTGCGCTCACATACAAAAACTAGACCACATCGTTGCTGTTAAAAATAGGTGAATTAATTCCTGTAATAAAAAGGTATTGCTGGTAAAACTAATTATACATTCATGAAAATAAACATAATTTTAAACATAATCATTAGTGTAGCCTTCTGAGCTTTACGGTTAGGGACGTTTTCCAAACCATCCGGGAACAAATACATGTAGACTGGTATATAAGACCAGTCTGCTATAGATTTATTTTATTTCACCAGAGCTGTAAAAGCCCCAGACAACAGCAGCACAGGCAGGACGACAAGAGAAATGTGCATCCAACTAAACTCTTGAAAACTGTTGAACTGTGAACAGCAGAGTCTATAAGTCAATTTACTACTCAGCAATTCCATTCCCTTTCCTCTTTTACCTCACAAAACTGTATATTTAAAGGCTATTTATGCTAGTAGACGTGACATTCATGGCTGACTTCAAGTAAACAACAAAGGAAATAGAGATTGGTTCTTCCTTACGGTTGAAGACCAAGTTGTTGTCTTTGAAGTCCTTCCACTGCTGGTACCATTTCGAGTCTCTGTGGAGCACCATGCCCATTGCTTCCCTGAAGTGCACACAAAGGAATGCTTCAAGAAGAGGGAAACCGTTGTTCCTCTTGACTTGCTGCGTCATGCTGACAATCACAACACTGAAGTACTCGCATCAAGACTAATTAACGTAATGTAAATAAAATATGGGGAATATTATCAAGGTTCAGCTGTGGAAACTCTGACTCTTATTCCGGATTGAATGAATACTCACCAGGGCCTCTTGTGGGAAACAAAACTAGACCACCACCGGTTTGCTTCTCTCTGCAAACTGAGGTTTTTCTAATACTGCCTGGGATAGTCGGGTGCTGGTACCTGGCCAGATGAGACTCTCCGCTCTAACAACAGCTCAGCTTTAGGCTGCCTTTACTCCCCCTTTTTTCAGATTGTGTTTAAACTGTATGAAGCCATCTGCGAACATGAGACGGTGTTCCCCTCCCACTGTATAGTAGAGGGCACTCACGTACTCGTTGGCCTCGAAGACCTTGCTGTCATCCCCCGCCCCCTTGGAGGAGAACTCACTCCTCTTCCGGAGCCTGGCAGGCGGCCGATAAGGGCCGGTGTGACCCAGGTCACCGATCTCCTGCTTCACACTCTCCATGCCCTGAGGACAGTTCTCATTTTAAAACTACAATTGTACTCCAGTACTACTAATTATTTTCACTATAATATTTAATTTTGTATATTGCCATTTCCCCACATTTATTTTTGACATTTTTTTTTACCTTTTTCTGTTTATTTATGAGAAACAATAAGCAAAGATTGTCGTTTAACTTCTGGTAAACAAGGAGATATATTTGCATCATGGTGTGCGCAGGGAGTCCGTACCTGTGATATCGCTCTGAACGCGCCACTCTTCCCCAACTTCTCCCCACTTTTAGAGACGGACTCTGCTGAGGTCTTAGCGGTTTTGGCTGCTTCTTCCATCCCATCTTTGATTTTCTTACCTATTTCTGTACGGCTGACCTCCTCCAGCCCCTGTGCACGGGCGCAGACAACAAACACGTCGTAAAGGCGAGTGGATCAACTTGAAAATGTCACCTATCAAATGACAATCAAAAGAAAGATTGAAATACTTTTACCTCTTTAACGGTCTCAGAGAAGTTTCCAAACTTCTTCTTGAGAACGTCGGAGGTCTTCACTGTTTCAGTTTCTATCGTTTTCTGGGGAATACACAGAATCTAACGCTAGCGTTTCATAACAAAATGAATATTGCACAATACTGCGAGCGGCCAAATACTGACGTATTTTCTTCGAGCTTGTTTCAATGCGTCAGACTCTTCCAGTTTTTGGGCCTCTTCTCGGAACTTCTTGATGCTGTCTTTCATTTCCTTGTTCTTATTCAGCTCCTGCTTAATGTTGTCCAGAAGTTCCCCAAGGAAACCCTTTCTGCTGCCTCTCTCCCCGGACAAATACCGTACCTGCAGGAGACGTGACTGAGGCCGCTAGTTGGTACAAAGAAGAAACGCAATTCCTTCAATCATTCAATTAATGTACTTCTTTCCTATCTGGAGCAGTTGAATTAAACTTAAATCTATGAACAGTGCGGCAGGAGAGCTATGTTGGTTACTTGTCAATTTTAAGTGGTTCTGATTCTTTTGCAAATGAATGCACTCGTACAATTCTGCAATGAATCCTACAGGATGGTTATGATGTTCAGTCGCTGCATAATGCTAAAAGTCAACAGCACGATCTAATCTAAAAGCAGCTTTGATACTGAACCTATAAGGATTTACTGAAGGACTGTTGAACAGTTTTTATTCGGGGTAGCAAAGATTGGCTTTTGAGCGCGTGTTAAAAATGACGATAACAAAACCAAATAGAAGCACAGTAGAAACGGACCGTGTCATGAGCTCGTACCTGTGAAGAACACGTGAGGACCCCACGTATCCTGTAGACGTTGGGTATGTTGTGACGCAGCAGGTAAGACGAAGGGAACGCTAGCGAGCATCTTCTTACACAGATCTAAAGTCACACAAACAAAATATAAGACCCTCTCAAACGGACTGCTCAAGGACCACGCAGAAAATGATCTCGGCGTTTGCTATATGGATGCTTAAGTTAATGTTATGTGTTGGTAGATAACGCGGAAAAGACGAAGTGATCGAGCGTATAGTCGTTTAACAATGCAGCTGTTAATTACATAACATAAAAAAGATAGAACAGATATTGAAGTTGACTTTGTCCTACAAAGTTTAAATAAGTCAATGCGGTACGTTTGCTAGCTAACGCTACGTTATCAGCCACGAAAGGCTCCGAGGCTCACAGCCGCTAGTGTAACCGGTTCAAAAACTCCGTGTGTCACCTTATATTTCAAATGAAATGCCAATACTTGATGGCAAAGGACAGGTACTCACTTGGTAACACTGACACAAGGGGCTCGCCATCTTGAACGTGATGCCTGTGACCTTCTTCCGGTGATGACGTTTTACTTCCGGGAGGGGGAGTTGTGAGCGGGGAATCCTCCCGCGCGCTTTACCTCCGTATGTTGCTAACTGCACGCGATAACGCGCTTCATCCGCGAAGTAAACATGTCCAATGTTACTACGTCATAAATGTGGCATGAGTAGATGACCTCTACCAATAAGTCCATTATTAATAGGCAATGCAATTTAAAAACAGAATAAAGTACTCATTTCAAATACTGGAGGTTTATTATCAAAACACCATACAGAACAAAAGGCAATGACAGGTGAACCAGGACAGGAAAACAAAATTAAAAGGGTTATTTGGTCTCTAAAAACAAAAAGTAAAACAGAATCAAAAACTAAAAACACTTTCACTGTGGCAAAACAAACAAACTAAAATATTTTTTACTCTTGGGAGTACCTAACAAACCAAGTGAATACAATATGAATTTCTAACAGAAATTTAGAGGATACATAGCGCTTGGGCTTTCATGGACTAAATTAATCGTCATGATCGGCTGATAGACAATTTATGCATTTCTATCAATCCTAACATCAATTTCTCTTCCATTCAGCCGATAGCCATTCATGGTTCGGCAGACACGCTCAGCAGTTTCGGGGGTGTCAAAGCGCACCACACCACAGCCCTTGGACTTGCCGTTCTCCATTTTAATATCAGCATACTGAACCATACCTGCAGAACGAGGGACAAAGATGAAATTAGTGAGCATAATGTCAAATAGACTGATTTTACCCAGCACTCGCCAACTATCACTACTCTTACCGCATGTGTTGAACGTATCCTTCAGCATCTTCCAGTTGAAGTCAAATGGCAGCTGGAAAACAATTTAAAATCAGTTACAACCAAACACAGGAGCTCGTCCAACAATAGCCTTACTAGCCTCAAAATACTTACATTTCTGACAAAGATCTGGCATCCCTTTCTGATATTGCTTCCTCCAGCTCCAGGCCCTCCGGCTCCAGCAAAAGAATTCCCGCCAAATCCACGGTCTAAGTCAGCGGCCCGGTCAAACTGACCGCCAACACCTCCAGACCCCATCCGTTCCATGCCAGAGCTCATGCGGTCAATGCCACCGGCAGGGAAGCGGTCGAGTCCTCCAGTGGAGCCGATGCGGTCGAATCCGGTGGGCATTCGGTCAATCCCAGCGTTGCCCATGCGATCCATACCCATCGGGGAGCCAAAGTCCAGTTGGGATCCCATGCGATCCAAACCAGACGGGCCCAGTCGGTCAAACCCAGCTGGGGCGAGGCGGTCCATGTTGGAGCTCATACGATCCAGACCGGGTCCGAGTCGGTCCATGCTGGGCCCTAGCCGGTCCATCCCTGCGCCCATCCGGTCAAAACCAGAACCCAACCTGTCCAGGTCAGACCCGCGTTCCATCCGGTCCATCCCCATCCTATCCATCCCTGCCATGCGGTCCATGTTGCCTCCCAGGCGGTCCATCCCAGAGCTCATGCGGTCCATCCCCAGAGAGTTTCCTTTCAAAGTGAGTAAACAAAAAAGTTGCATCAACCGTCAAGAGCTGACACGACAATTTTATCTGATCCATCAGATTAGAGGAATTTAAACAAAATCTTGGAAATACTAACCCATTCCTCTTTCAAAGGAGTCACCAAAATTATTGCGAGACATTCCCATTTCATTTCGCCCAAACTCCCTGTCAAAAGCACCACCAATCCCACGGTCCATCTCTGACAATGCAAGGGATGAAACCATTAGAAACAGCCAGCAAAACGTGAAAGTGTTCCACGCCTGCGTCGGTGTGCTCGACGCGTCTCCTCACCGTTCATTCTGCCCATGCCCGAAGAACCAAAACGCTCCATGTTGTTCATTCCTCCAAAGTTGTCCATTCCTTGAACAGAGAACAAAGTTTGAGAACAGTGACGGATGGACAGGCTGGTTGTGGTAACATCATAGAAGGCTTGGAGTATAGCGTATGTGTGTGTATATATATATATATATATATATATATATATATATATATTTATGAGATTAAAACCAAGTGAAATTGTATACAAATGTTCCTGCCCAACCTTATTTTGAGTATTTTAACTAAAAACCTTCAGTACATACCTCCTCCACTGCCATTGCCAGCACCGCCTCCACCACCGCCTCCTCCCATACGACCTCCCATGTTAGCAAAGCCCATCCCATCCATTCCTGCAAGTTAAAAGGGTGATAAGCCACTGACCAGATACCATGTGGAAAATAAAGTACTTTGCAAGTAGTTTATTTAAGTATATTCAAGTACTTTGAAATATTTTAACTTAGTACAAACTTTGATTATGCAGTAGTTTAACTGAAAACACTGGAGATAGTTACCTCCAGGCCCAATGTTGCCCATTCCTCCTCCAGCACCTCCTACGCCACCTCCTCCTCCTCCTCTATTGAGCTGGGTAGCATCAATGGGCTGGCCACCAGGTCCCAGGCCCAAACCAATACCACTCAGGCCACCTGGAAGGAGAAGATGGGTTCAGTATCAACACATTGTCTGCTCAGGCTACCTATTTGCATTTACTTTATACGCAATGTCAAGTTGAAACTGAAGCAACCAAGTTCCCCTCGCTTAAGTAGTGAATTAAGGTCTACTTACGGGGAAGAGCAGAAGCAGCTCTTTCAGGGGGTCCAAAATCCTTGGGCAGGGATTTCTCATCCTGCAAAAGCAAACAAACACATTCAGACTACGTTCTTCACATTTAACGTGAGCCGATGTACCGTGAGCTTTAGGAAACATACCAGTTTGACGTGCATGACTCTGTTGAATAGCAGCTGCCCATTAAACATCGCTGTGAAGTCATTAAGGAAAACGTACCAGGGACATGTTTGAACAATGACTTCTATTGAATTAACAGTATACACGTGCAAAGGGGTCCCAATCCAACATTTTCTCAGAAAAAAGGATACAGACAGCTTGGACTGCTTCAATGGGCATATCAAATGTTACAGTTCCCATGCCTCTGCTTTTCCCATCCTTGTCCTCCAGAATGTCGGCCCTCACCACCATGCCGGCCATGCTGAATACCTCTTTCAACTTCTTCCAGCCCACTTTGTAGTCGAGCTGTAAGTACATGGGACAGTTTTAGGGATTGGTTCACTTATTAAAAAAAGTGTCAGACTTTACAAAGTTTCTCCCCATATCTTAGATTACATTACCGCTGTACACAGTCATTCTTTCAAATCAAAATACTAGTCTTTACAATTAAATTGCTGTCATTGTTTTCATATCAATGGTTTCCATGCGCTTGTTTTTCGTGTGAATAATAAAATGACAACTCTTGAAGACTCACATTAGCCACAAAGACAGTGCTGCCAATCCTGCCAGCCTGCAGACCATGAATGATCTCGTTGGGGATGTTGGGGTTGTTCATCAGGCTTGGGGGAATGTTGACCATGGAGCCGTTTGGTCCGGGGCCCATTCGCTCCATGTTCATGCGGTCCATTCCTCCCATGCGCTCCATTCCACCCATGCGCTCCATTCCACCCATGCGCTCCATGCCGGCCATCCCGCCCATTCCACCGTGGCCTCCTGGATGTCCTCCACCTGGAGTCTTGTTCATCTCTCTCTGAGCAATCACGCCATCAGGATCCTATCATAAACGCATGACAATGTGAAGCAATATTCAATGACATTTTGATCTCTTTATGCCGTCTGGTCATTTGTTCTGGGGCCTACCTCTTTCACTTTTAAGGGTCGTCCATTCAGGTTGTGCTTATTAACCTTCTCCACTGCTTTCTTCATCAGCTCTTCAGTCCTAAACTCAACCACGCTGATAGACAGTGTAGGATTTAGATTAATCTCACAGAATATTCTTGTAACCCATTTTCCCAATCATCCCCAAAAAATTATGCTGAAATGCAAAAAAAGGGGGAGAAACTACTTACGCACAACCCTTCATTGATGGGGACAAAGGAGACACCAGAACAGGCCGCACAAAAAGTAGAGAACAATTAAAATTAGTAAAAGTGGTGTTAAAATAGATGGAATTGGTAAAATGTATGCAAAAAAAGACAATTTCATGCACAATCAAAAGTCCATCACAAACCTACATCCTTGGCCACACCTCTGTGCTTCCAAATGAATTTACTCTTCTACAATCTGTTTCCAGTCACTAGCACAATGAAGGCAGGTATGGCGAATATTAAACAGTATTGTTCCCCAACATCCAAAGGGCAGAAAATCCACAGTGAGATAGGATTCCCCGATACTGAGATATTAGAGGTAACATTTCCAGTGAAGCTGTTCTACGGAATGAGTTACATTTAACCATCATCTACCAGCCTTGTAACAACCTCTTGCAAACTAGACCCGTTTAGTTCACGAGGAGCGAATCCAGCGACCAAAGGGACTTTGTCACTCAGATACTGCAATCCCACATGATTGGCTACAAAGAAAGCTGAAGTCCTTTTATAAGAGCATCAACCCTCGGGATGACATCAAGTCAGTGTCACAAACGACACCGAATAAAAACATGCCTCCAGCATGTCACCATCTCACACACTCCCACCAGAGTACTGAAGCTGAACAATTTCCAACAATAAAATCAAAGACACCAAAGCTGACAAACTGAAGTTTGTCTAGGATTATTCATGTTTTATTTGTATGTATTTGCACTTACCCTCGATTTGCCTTCTGCGTCCATTAAGTGTTCCACGTACGTTACCTCACCCACTACAAATCAGATTCCAGAGACGACACACACCAAGGGGAGAGAAGCCGAGAGAACAATGGGGGTTTAGAGCAGACACACAAGTAGGTTGGCCGGTGACAGCGAGCTCAGACTGCCATTCCGTTGCCTTTCCCCAGCACCTCCGCAGCAGCACAATATGGTACAGGTCTACAAAAAGCAAGCTTGTGTCTTTATTGGGGGGAAAAAGTGTAACACCTCTTAGCACGTCCTTGTTGGAATTCTCCCGAAGCACCAGAAGCAATAGACTGAGGACAACAACTGTTGAAATGGCCATGGGGCCGCCTAGTTGAATCGAACACCACATTCTGCCGGACAATAATTAACCCAATAATTTCAAGGAGGCAAAACCTGTTCAATGACTTTCCATTGCAAACCTGTACATACTTTTTCAATTGTCGCCATTTAAAAAAAGTCAGGCCAATGCAACAATGCAGTCGCCCATCAACTGTGAAGGAACCTACAGCTTGGAACTAACCATAATCTTAATAAAGGCAAGCCCTTAGGGGACAGAAACTTCTCAACAGGCAAACATGTACTTAAAATGGACCTGTTCCTTAAACGCTCAATATCAAAATTTTGATTCAGCGTCGACCACAGCCACGCATTCGTTCCTGATCACGTGCGTTCAACAAATGGACGTCAGTGACCAACCCTCTAGAGACAAGGACAGTGCATAAGAAGTTGCTTCATTTTGTAGACCTGTACCCCAAAGAAAACTCCAACGCATAGCCGTGCTGGCACAACATGGAGATCTGCTGAGAAAACATTTGCTTGTCAAGGTCACACCTAAAAGAGAAAATGCAATTTAACTCCACAGTCAGTTGTTATCAAACGAATACCAGGCACTCCTTCTGAAAAGGATTGTACCTTTAAACACATGCTTTAGTATAAAGTGAATGCCAATTCAGTGCATTACTTATGATATATCTAAGGCTTTTCCAGTACCCCATAACTACATGAGTAAAAACACATGTAAATCCATATTGTACATTGAGAGAATACAAAGCTAATCCCTGTTGAAAGTTGCTGCAACACAAATGATTTTCATTTGACAAGTCTCCAAAAGATTTACCTTTAAATCTTAGAGCTTAGGTTTTTAAGCATTCGTTACATTTTGCAACTTTAAAGCAACTTGTCTCTCGTTACTGGACAAATATCATTACATTTTGTAATGCATGTTCTACATGGATTTCCTGGGGGAAGAGCATCTCAATATGCCGCTCGTGATCCCGGGCCATTGGATTGTCATGGTGGACCAGCGTAACACTTATACAAACCCCACGTCACCGAAACCACAATAGCTTTTAATCTCAATGGTGAAGAAATGTTCATTCTAACATCCACTTGTACAAGTCTGCAGCAACTCCTGAGTGGACGGACCTCGTCCAAACCGTGGTTCCAGATAACTCCCAGGAGATCTCAAGCAACTTAACACGACTTAAGTTTCTGCACAAATCCCAGAGAGCCCATCAAAGCTCTAGGGCGTCACATAGCATGACCATGGAGGCTGAATATTGCGGTCACATCCAGAGTGGACGGACTCAATCCCATGTTCAAACAACTTACCTTTTTCTTTCATCAGGTCTTTGAGCGCTTGCCATTTGACATCGTATGGGATGTTGCTGACAAAAACGCGGTATCTTTTGTTGACGTTTCCATAGGGTTCATATCGCCCTCCTCCTCCACCTCTCTTCTGGGGCCTCTCCTTCCTGCTTGAATTGGGCTCATGTTTAGCTTTCCCGTTCACTTCTCTGTATAAAGAGATCAGTAAATAAATGATTAAAGAGATTTGTATGAACGTGTTCAGAAAGGCATGAAATCTAGCATAATTAAAATCCTAATGATAAATTCATAGTTTAAAATGTAAGCTTTTATATTAATTGACTGCAGATTTACTGGACGTTTTTAACGTTTTTGCAGCAAATTTCGACTTGAGCGTTGCTCCGGAAGAGCGACAAAAAACGACGCCATTAGCTTAACTAACGTTAAACAACGGGATGGGGAATCCTATAGGAAAAACCACTCAACTGGAGTAAAAATACAAATGTTCAAAGACTGAGTGGTTAAATAATTGTTAGTAACAAGAATCAGGTTGTTATAACGGTCTGAACAACGATAATAAGGCTACAAGCGAGACAATTCCACTTCAACCGCATGGCAAGGCCGCTCCCTAGCCAGAACTTTAGTAGGCCTGTGCTAACGTTACGCAACTAACGTTTCAGTATTTAATGTCTTAAATCATATTGTGAACTAATACAAGAGGAAATGCCATTACGGAATAAGTCGAAGTAATAGTAAGCACTATAGCTTCAAACTCTACCATGACTATAGCAATTTTAGTGAACGTTAGGTTGGGCTCTACAGGAATTAGACGGGTCCCGAACAGCCCTGCTAGCAGCGGGTAAATGTAACGTTATCGTAACTTACACTTCACAAACACGCTGCGGGACTCAACGGCCGCATAGAGATAAAACTAAAAACTGGGGATGATTTCCGAAAGTGGTTCTACAAGATTTACGTTGATCAGAATCGCTTCGACTACTTGTGTAACTAGCTAACGTTAGCACGCTGGCTCCAACAAAGGAACATCGATGAATGGTCTTACCCTGGCGGCGGTTGTTGCTGTTGCTGCGGCGGCTGCTGCTGCTGCTGCTGAGGGGGAGGCTGCTGCTGCTGCTGCGGCGGCGGCGGGCCTGTTTGTTCGATAACGTCGGTCTTTTCAGCCTGCTCGGTGGACATTTTATCGCGCAGTTTTAGTGTCTTGCTAAATGATGTGTTCTCTTCGATAACGTTCAAGAATCACCCGAACGTAGTGTAAAGAATAACTACGCCAAACACCTCTGCGACACCAACAAACGAAAATGGCGGAGAGACCAGGACCAACGAATGACCGGATTATTTAAACTAGGGAGAAAATGTTCTACATCCGGTGTACTTTTAAAAAAGTAAAGGTCCCAGCCGTAAAATGGGGATTTTCAGAATAATGGTGTCCGGAATGCAGACGACTAACCCTAACCCTACAAAAACATGTATCCTTGTGTTAGATAAAAATGTATTTGTGCGTGATTAACAACACGTCATTCTAAACCTCAAAATTCTCTAATTTGTGACAATTTTAAGGTGTTGTGTCACATGTTGAGCGCAAAACCATCAGATTTTAATTCTGGTCCAATGACGTGTCAAGTGTGTGTTGTGGTGTAGAAATGAGGAATTATACTGGCGTAAATGGCACAAAAGTCTAGGAATTTGGGATGGAATGAGTTTGTTTACTAATCCATTTCCCAAGTATGCCTTGCATAATCCATCAAAGTATGCAATTGCTTTGATATAAAAGTAGGATTATTTACCTTACCTGTTGGAGGCTGTAGAAAACATCTTTCAAAAACTATAATATTATTGTATCTCCTTTTCTCTGAAACAGATAAAATATCCCTAACGAAAATAAATAAAGAGTCACTTTATTTCTGCAGCTGAAGCATCATTTGAGCCATTCGACCTCTGCAGCTCATCCAGAATGCAGCAGCTCGACTGGTCTTTAACATTTTTCTCCCACACTACTCCACTCCTCCGCTCTCTTCACTGGCTACCGGTGGCTCCCCGCATCCACTTCAAAACATTGGTGCTAACGTACCATGCTGTGAATGGATCGGGTCCAGCTTACATCCAGGACATGGTCAAATCCTACATCCCGACCTGCACTCTCCGCTCTGCAAACTACTCGTTCCTCCCTCACTGAGAGCAAAACACTCAACAAGATCACAACTCTGTCCTTGCTCCGAAATGGTGGAACGAGCTCTCTGATGATACCAGGACCGCAGAGAGCCATCACATCTTCCGCCACAAACTAAAGACACACCTCTTCAGACTCTACCATGACTAAAAGACTAACAAATTGTAGCACTTAAATTGTACTTATAATGACACTTATCTATAGCAAATTCTAATATGGCTTATTTGAGGAAATTGTACTTTCTTGTTTCTTGCTCTTCTGAGTTTGTATCCTTATGGTTGAATGCACTTATTGTAAGTCACTTTGGATAAAGGCGTCAGCTAAATGACATGTAATGTAATGTAATTTGGGGAATTTCATTAAATGAATGGTGCTCCTAATTTGTTTCCTTCACTATTCATTATTCGGTAAGAATTTCATGCCCAGGGCGTCGGTCTGGCAGGTGACAGTGCCACTACACCACTGTGCCCCCTCAAACTGCTATGGTTAGAATGTGTTATGTCTCCATTTTAGAATATATTCAGATTTTTTGTCAAATTTAAGTTTTCTCACCATCCTCCACCTTCCACCTCCACCATCCTCAAATGACTACAGTAAGAATTTCCTTAATTTTTACAAAATATTTGGGGATTTTTTTGGAGGCGGACCTTTTCAAAAAGTCCTCATACTAGATATATAATTCTTGTTATGACTTCTTGAGGGAACCCTATGCTGGGAGGTGACAGTGCTAACCACTACACCACTGTGCCACCTCAAACCGCTGTGGTTAGAATTTCTTATGACTCCACTTTTTTTAGAAATTATTCATTTGTTAGCTCTGCTATGTTATATAATGAACATTGTATCAACCAATTTTATTTAATATACAAAAAGAAGCTGAAGCTGCAGTGCACCGCCAGACCTTACGGGGGCGCTGGTAAATTACACATTAGCTCGGTGTGGTTGTAGTGCAATCAGCGGGGACGGAAGTACTGTCGGTTTAGTTGCTAGCTACTCACCTAGCCTTAACAATAGCTTGTGAATGTTTTCCTACTGTGTCCATAGTTTTCATGTAGACTAGACTGTATTATTACAATAATTTATTTTACAAAATAGTTACGTGGCTGTTTGTGGCTCTATGTAAATTGAATTTAGCTTAGAAATGACACCTTTAGCGTTAGCCTTTAGCTAGGAGCGTATTTGTCGGGCAGTACCGCTTAGCTGGGTTTACGCCAGTGAACGAATAAACAGTATTTACGTTTGACAGATTGTGTGTTGCTTCACGACATTTTAAGTCATGGGTACTGGTGCCGATGTCAGGGATATTCTGGAGTTGACTGGAGGAGAAAATGATGGCCCCATCAGCAAGAAAGATCTCATCAACTCGGACAAGGTAAGAGATAACGTTAATGTGAATCAACTGTTTTACCCACATTTGAATAAACATTTAAAGAATTATACAGGCCGCGGAACTCTAAAACACAAAACATGACATATGCAATAAGGGATATCAAGACGGCTAAGTTAACGTTATAAATTGTTACTTTGTGATTGAGTATTACTTGTTTTTATGAAATAAATAACCGTTTTCCTATTTTCTGTCTCAGAAAAAAACCAAGAAGGCAACGGAAACGCTGACTTTCAAGAGACCTGAGGGAATGCACCGAGAAGTCTACGCTCTGCTCTATTCAGATAAAAAGTACGAGCTCAATTATAGTATTTGTTAAAATCAATGTACCTTTTGCCGGTGAAACGAGACTCGTGTGTTGTGACATGTTCACCCAGTTAAGCAGTGGGAGATTTTATGTTGTGTGGTTTTTGTGATGTCTGTCTGTAATTTTCAAGCAATATCTGTTTAACCCTTCCCCTAGTATCGCTGACTTTAGATGTGGCATTTTTCAATTGTCTGCATGTGCTGAATATTCTTGGCTGGCTTTAATAGAGACATATTGTTCTTGATAATCCCCAGAGATGCACCCCCTTTGCTGCCGAGTGATACTACTCAGGGCTACAGGACAGTGAAAGCCAAGCTGGGCTGTAAAAAGGTGCGTCCCTGGAAGTGGATGTCCTTCACCAATCCAGCTCGCAGGGATGGGGCTATTTTCCACCACTGGAGACGAGTGGCAGAGGAGGGCAAGGATTACCCCTTTGCCCGCTTCAACAAGGTAGGGATGACTCAAGAGTCTGCTTTATTCTCACCACTCATTTAGAAGAAAACACACAGGGGTTTTATTGCTATCCATCTTCTGTCAACTCCTTCTTGTTCAGGTTTATACATTCATTACACGTTTGTTTAGTTATTCATCCAGATTCACTGTCCTTCTCTGCTTTTGTAGACAGTGCAGGTACCAGTGTACTCTGAGCAGGAATACCAGATGCATCTCCATGACGATGGCTGGACTAAAGCAGAGACGGACCATCTGTTTGACCTGTGCAAGCGCTTTGACCTGCGCTTCGTAGTTGTCCATGACCGTTACGACCACCAGCAATACAGAGTAATCACTTTGCCATTCATCTACATCTCTCATGTTCCCTCTCACTTAGGATGTATTGCAAAAAGTTAAAACCCACATTTGTATTGACATCCTTCCATTTATTTTCAGAAACGTTCTGTGGAGGACCTGAAAGAACGGTATTATTGTATTTGTGGTAAACTCACAAAGGTCCGTGCGGCTTCAGGGACTGAGCCCAAGATCTACATCTTTGACGCCGGCCATGAAAGGCGCCGTAAAGAGCAATTGGACAAGCTCTTTAACCGCACACCTGAACAAGTTTGTAACTTTGGTTTCTTATCTTGTTGTTAGACTCTCATGGCTTTGATATTGCTCAACCATTTTTTTTAATGCAGTTTATGCCTTTAGTGAAAAAAACACAATCCAACAATATTGCTGAACCTTGTAAGATGTTTCCCACCCTTTAGAAATATTAACACTGCACCTCTCTGGTTTGTCCTGCAGGTGGCAGAAGAGGAGTATCTTATTCAGGAGCTAAGGAAGATTGAGACTAGGAAGAAAGAACGGGAGAAGAAGGCCCAGGATCTGCAGAAACTAATTAAAGCAGCTGACACAACCACCGAGTTAAGGCGTGCAGAGAAGAGAGTTTCCAAGAAGAAGCTCCCACAAAAAAGAGAAATGGAGAAACCGGTATGATAAAAGCTCAGACAACAAATTTGTATGTGGGAAATGTTTTCCTGTAATGAAAGTAGCAATACAGAGAAAATTCAGCTCTTTGCCATTTGTTTGTATGCTGCTGTTTGAAATGAATAATGAATTGAATATTTTGACATGTGCCGTGTGTTCAAAGTTCAAAGGCATGTCACTATTGTGTCTCTTATCAGTTATTTATTTTTCTTTAGGCCGTTCCAGAAACAGCAGGTATCAAGTTCCCAGACTTCAAGTCAGCGGGAGTCAACCTTCGCAGTCAGAGGGTGAGTACAGCACACTTAACACTAGTAAGGAACTAAAAAGAACAATCCGAGGCGCAGACCAAACCCACAGTTTTCAGAAATGCTCTCACAGCTCTGTATTAAGAACCTATAGTTATGTTTCAACCTCTGTTGCCAAAAGACAATTTAAGTAAAGCTGAAACCCTTCAGCTAATATATACGCGAGGGACCAGGATGTCTGACTTGAGCATGCTATCTCTCATTATCAGTGTGATGATACATTCTGTTAGTAACTCGCTTATATCCGTAAGACCCAGCAACGGGGAACTCTTATTCATCTTCAAGACTGATGAGGGGCTGCTGCTCTCTGTGTAAAATGTATTAGCTCGGCTAAAGGAGTGGAGTATCCCGCGAGCCAATCAGTCAGACAGAGTTCAGTGGATAAAGACATTTTGATCTGGCCCGTTGAAGTGCATTTCATACGAATTAAAAGCCCTGAGGTGGAGCTGTTCATCCTGGTATCCACGCACTTTAAATCACAACCGTGTGTGTGTTGGTTTGTCTGTCTGTGTCTGTGTCTGTGTGTGTGTGTGATTCAGATGAAACTGCCAAGCTCGGTAGGCCAGAAGAAGATCAAGGCCATTGAGCAGATTCTGCTGGAGCAAGGAGTGGGTAAGCGTGAATTAACACCAGCAATCTGCATTTTACATTTCAAGATTTACATGTTGGTCTCTTCTCTGCAACAACCTAAAATAGTTATTAGATGTTCTTGGTCTGGAGTTTTCAGTACAGCAGGAAAATGTGAAAAAAAAAAGACAACCATTTCAGGTTAATAACACCTCTGCTCAGGTTGAAGGTTGGCCAGAGACTAGAGTTTTATTACATTACAAATCCTCATCCACCAATAAAAAAAAAGGTAAAAATGTGATTTGTCCCACCTTGAGCCAAAGCTAACAGGAGACTCTGGGACATTTTTTGACTCAATTCAGGGGCTTAAAAAGAACATTCTGACATCTTTAAGATGTGTTACGACTAGAACAAGCGGACAGTGTGGTTTAATAGCAGGAAGCCTAAACATAGGAGCTATTTCTTGGCCAATACAATTGGCAACAATACGCTCTGGTCCTCAGGTTGTGCTTAGTTTTCTAATGATATGAGATGTTTTCTAGAAAATATGGCTTCTCCTTTGCAGATATAGAGTAAAAGGGACGATAACTACTGGGCTCAACAGACTAGCAAAGCTTCAACAATTTAATGAGGAATTTAAAAAATTCGGTCCAGTTCGGACCACTACCTTCATCAGTAGAACCTTCTTCCACTTACTACAACGACCTGACAAATAACCCTGAACCCTTTTTGTAAACAAGTTTTGAGGTGTTTTAATAGCAAGCTCCTGACGCGTGTTTTATATTTCCCTTTGTGTCCGTCCCTGAATCTAGATCTCAACCCGATGCCCACAGAGGAGATCGTTCAGATGTTCAATGAGCTGCGCAGCGACCTGGTGCTGCTGTACGAGCTGAAGCAGGCGCACAGCAATTGCGAGTACGAACAACAGATGCTGCGTCATCGCTATGAGGCCCTTCTGAAGACCGGCACCGGCAGCATGTTGGGTGGAACTTTAGGAGCCGGGCCTGCAGCTGTCGCTGCCGCTCAGAGTGCAGAACTCAATGCCACGAACAGCACCGGGGCGTCCACCCCGGGGGGCGAAACTCCGTCCTGGCCCAGTGCCGATGACATCAAGGTGGAAGCCAAGGAGCAAATCATTGATGTTGTAGGAGCACCACTCACCCCCAACTCGGTAAGGCTGCGCTGAATCAGACCACACTTTTCTTTTGCGCCGAGTCAGAACCCCAAAATCTTTTTTATCAGATGTATTTTAACATATGGATATATTGTAAAACATATGTGTCTCAATGCTGATTTGGCCAAAACCAGTGAGGGATCCAGTCAGTGCCATGACGCTCGCTGCTGATCAATCTGGGTTTCTGTGGAAGGAGTAGTAGCCTCTGCTCCGACTCCCTCACTTTCTAATGACGTAAAGTTGTATTGGTTGAAGACGCGTGGCCGTCTTCACATTCCCTGTGGTCAGGCACAGCGTTCAGCATTTGACTGGTAAAATAATCCCATAACTGAAAGCGGGATCACTCTGCCAGGCCCTTTAAGTGATTGTCTTTGTGTCTCGCATTGCAGCGCAAGCGGAGAGAGTCGGCATCCAGCTCGTCTTCAGTGAAAAAGGTGAAGAAGCCTTGACGAGGAAAAGAGCGCCCGCTCTTACGCGTGTGACCGTGTGAGTCACTGTGGTCGCAGGGAGGACACACGTTCCATGGTCGGACAAGCAGCACACAGGGGAACGGAACAGCACATTGCTGTTCATTTACGTAGAAGCCCCACTGACTACACACACACATACATGCACAGACACACACAACTTTTCCCCTACCAGCGAGGCCTCTCCACCCCCCCCCCCCCCATCGGGCCTGTCCAGCGTCTTTGTGACAAAGGCAACAACTGAGTGACATTTCATTCCATTACTGCTCGTCCCCTTTCCTCCACCATCGCTCAGCCTTAGATGAGGCAAGATCAACTGTAAATTGCCAGGCTGAGCTAATCGGGACCCGGGGAAGAAGGTGGGAAGGACCGGGTAATTGAAATGAATTGGAATGAAAGAAGGGACTTTGGGAGTGGGAGGACCTGCAGCTGCAGAGCTCATTTGACCTGATCTGAGGTGGGGTTTTTGTTGATCATGCCATAGTGTTTACTGGAAATGTGTTTTGGTGTTAGCCTTTAGTACCCGATGTAGCCCCCCCCACCCCCGACCCAGTCTCGCTCTCCCCCTCCATGATAGACTGTGGTTCCATCTGCTGGCCCGTCCTCCATATTGGGCAAGTGAGGCTGATTTGTGTTTATTTGTCCTCGGGTGACCTTGAAGATGGTTTAGTCAATGATTCAATAAACCTTCATGTTTTTTTTTTTCTTCCTGCGTGTTATACATGTTTATGCCACAGCGGCTTCCTTCACAGCTCAAGCTTCTGTTGCTCTTTCTTACACGATATGTTAACTTAGAGGTAATCAGTGTTGAATAAACATTTGCCGGCGAGATTGTAGGATCATGACATTTTTACCTTACCTGTCATTAAGTTAAGTGACACGTAATAACTTCATTAATATGGTAATTAAGCAGGGCTCATTATTGGGTTGGCACAGCTACTGAAACTTCATGAGGTTCCCTGCCCATAATATTGCTAATTGCATGTCAATTATGTCATTAAGCCTGCTGAGACATTCATTTCTATGCAAATTTGGCGTTGAAGAGGAGTATGTACGTCTACCGTGGCTGCCTGTAGATGTAGGATAAAAACATTTTTGGAGGGTCTTTTTTATGGTCGTCGCGGTTCTAACCATCCGTAACCTAAAACCATTGTTTGACATTACAAATGATGGTTTAAAGGTGTCATCTAACTTAATATACAAGCTTAATTCTGTCCAAAGAAGAAATTATTGACAGAAAATACCTTTTTAATAACCGTAAAATCTCTGCTAAATCCCCGATCCCTTCAGACGGTGTCTTTCTTAACTATCATAGGGGAAAACTTATGTCTTGTGTCTTTAATAAGCTCTCTACGGTTCCAGAAGTAAACCATTCCACACACTGGAGGTGGTCTGATTGAGAGAGAGAGGGGAAAAGAGTGAGAGAAGGCAAGTAAACATGGGTAAAATGGATTCTCTGTGTCTATATTTCATGTTGAAAATTGGCTCATAAATCCATGGGTATGATCTATGGTACCCGTCGTTGCTTGAAAAAACCTCCGTAAATGTGTAATTTCTCCCTTGACAGAACACAGCCGAAAGGCTATCTTTCTTTTGCTACCTCCTCCCCGCTCTGTCTCTCGTTCTCGCTCCCTCCTTCCACCAGCCTTGTGTTGGATTAATGCTCCGCTCTCTTCCTTCTCTCCATCCGCGCTCCTTTGATATCTTCTTTTCATCACCGCTCATCCATTTATCAAAACTAGGGCTCCCTCTCTTATCTCCCAGCATCTAAACCCATCCTAAGTTATATGGCTGGCATCTTGTAAGATAGGCTTCAGGGAAGTGGAGGTTATTAATAAATACTAGTCTAAATTGAAAATAGGTGGGCAGGAGGGGGGGGACGCATCACCGGCCATGTGTGAATGATAAAGACCCCCCCACCATCCCCATCCTGCTCCACCCGGGCTACGGTGTACGTTCTGCAACACTGATGTGAAAAGCATGAGGCAGAACCTGGGCGGCGGAGTGTCTTATAATGTGCTTGTGATGGCATCGAGATGGGATCTCTTTATCAAGGCCAGGCTGAGGCTTTAATCACCACCTAAGAGCTGCGCTGGCTGTTTATCATAATTGAACTGTATCCAGGCTAATCGCCGGCATGCGTCACTGTCGGGGGGGGGGGGTCGCTCGGCTGCGCCGCCGCCGGTGATTGAACACACAGTTAAGAGAAAAGATGTGTACCGAGGCACATAAGGCAGGAGGAGGCAGGTAATGGCACACGTGATACACGACGCCTGGAGGTAACCGCTGATGTGACAGTGATCAGATTGTCGATGGCTCCTTTGCCGTGGCACACTGCTTTTTTACCCATCATGTCTCATGCAATCACTGAGTACTATACAAGGGGAAGAGGCAGGAAGGGTGCAATAGGAGCAGGCGGGGGGGGGTGGGGGCAGCGGCCTGATTATCCCCTTCCCAGGCCGGGGATGGAGCGCCTACCGCACGGGCCGTGACGAACGTCCAAAACAGACATCCACCCCTGCGCCCCTCTCTCGTCTCCATGTTCCTCACTTTGACTTTCACCTCCTCTAGTTTAGGTCACCTTGAGAGAGAGAGAGAGAACTTTTAATCATTGTTCCACATCAAACTCACCTGTGGCCTCTGGGACGCTGGGCTGCAACAAAGAGGAGGGGCTGAAACCGCAGGTTGGAAAAATCGCAGCTGCCCCCAGGGTTGGACAGTGTAAGTCATTTCCACTGGATTCTTTTTTTTTCTTTTTCTTCTCTCCTGGTGGGGGGGGGGGGCTTGCAACACAAACCCAATCACTGGCACTAAACAGTGCTTACAGCGAGGCATTAACCCCACTGTCCACTCGCCACATTAAAGCCCCGGGGAGGCCGGAGAGAGCGGACTGGAGTACAGCGGACTAAATCTAGACTTCCTATTCCCCATCGCTGGGCCGCTCCGTCTCCACTCAGGGGGTGTTATTTGTTTTCAAGGTGTCCTTCCTTGAAAAAGAAGCGACTGGGTAAAATGGTGGTTGAAGAGAAGTTATTTTTTGAGGAGAGATTTGAAAGTATAAAAAAGGCGAACGTGGGTGAATGTTGGTTCCTTGAGACATGCAGATTCATTTACAAAATGCTCCACTATGTTCACCAGCTCAATAACAGTTTCTTGTCAGCTGGATTATTAAAGCTTTCACACCTGGCTGCTGCGGAATAATCCAAAAGTGGTGAACTGCAGAGTTGGCTGATAATTCTCTCTGGGTCACACATGTACACGTACAAAGAAAGATTGTTACATCAGGTAATGGAACACACACATATTGTGAAGGTTTGCCTTAAGGCTGTGCAGCTTCAATGTATGCAAGTCCTATTTGTGTCCTCAGCTTTTATGTGAATCCATATACTTGGACTTTTATTTGATTGTCGGGGGGAGAAGAGTGCGGTCCGTTCAGGTCAGAGCTGTGATTGCATGCAGACTATAAACGGGACCAGGTTGGACAGATCGGCTCTGTGTCGGCCCTCTGAAACAAACCAGTTGGATTTGATTTGTCAGGGAGAGATCGAGAGGCCTCTGGACAACGTGTGACAGAGTTACCTCGGCCAACCAGCGTAGTGAATGTCCCTCTCTTCACCTGCACAAGCGCAATTCCAACAAAGAAAAAAAAAAATCCAATTTACCATGCGGATCCGCAGCTGTCACGGCAGGGGAATTAAACATTACCCATAACTCACTGGGGGGGTTGCTGAGCAGGTCAGCGGATGGCAGGTACGGTAACATCACTCTGGGGTGCAATAACAAAGGGCTTTAACCTCTGACTCGTTCTCTGGCGCCGCTGGCAGAACATCATCCCAACTTACAGCAGCTGTTTAACAATCTCTGGTTGACTCGACGACTCGGCTCACACCCCTTTGCCACTCGCCGCTCATATTTCTCCCTAACACAAACAGGAAGACGTGAGGGTGGGGGGGGGTTGTCAGTGTAAATGCAATGTTTTCCACCCCGCTGGGTCCTGGAGGGCTTCCTGTAATGCTTCATGGGGGGGAGGTGGTGGTGGTGGGGGGGGCGTTGCTGAGATCCTGGAGCTGCCAGCATCCCGTGTCATCACCCACACAGGCTGCCTGCCTGCCTGCCTGCCTGCCCGCCCGCCTGGCCACCACCACAGCCTCAATTACCTGACTGACGTTTCATTAGCGCCTGCAGCTGATCCCGTGGCTGAGAGGCAGTGGGGCGCAGAGGAGCACGAGGTTGGAGCTAGAGAGAGAGCGAGAGAGAGAGAGAGGAGGGGGGGAGGAGGCTTCCACACACTACATTCTCATGCGCTGGGAAGTCGCAGGACACCCACTCATCATGTCGCAGTCATTTAGCACACGCTGTTATCGAGCTGGACTGTGGATGGCGAAATGGAGCGGGCCCGGTCTGATTCTGTGTCGGCCATTCAAAGATGACATTTTTGGATTGTTGGTGCAACTGACAAGTGTGTGTGTGTGTGTGCGCATGTAATGTAAGGCAGCAGCTTTGTCAATGACACAAATCAGTCAGGTGCAGCGTACTGATCGGAGCGCCTCGCCTGCGCTCTGGGAATGCTTACACGCGTGGAACCGCGCGTCTGTGGTGGTGTGTCCCGGTGAACATCCCCGGGTCTGTGCGTGATGTGTGTGTGGCTCCTCCATCCTTGGGGTTAGTGCAGGCCATGTCAGAGCTGATCCAGGGCGGAGCTGAGGAGGCTTAGTTAGACCCTCGGCCTGAGCCTCTCCACAGAGCCCACGCTCGACTGGCCTCTCCTTCCCATTTGTCATCCTGGGCCAGTAAGACCCCCGGAGAGATTAGGGCATAGCAGACGGACTGGAGTAGCAGGAATAAGAGGATCAGTTAAGCTATAAACACAGACAAGTTTGTGTCTCTCACCCACTCTGGTGCTGTGACAGTTTGTAATGGCTTTCAAAAGTTCCCTGCGCGTCGTACGTCTCCCTTTTCAAAAGGACACCGCAGTCGGCAGGCAAGACAGGTACAGGAACGTCCGTCGGTTGGATCGCGTGGCGAGTTGGACATTAAACAGAACAGTTAACCGTGTCGACCCACGGTGACCCGAGTTAATGAACCGTGAACCAATGCAGAACAGAAAATGCAAAGGTTTGCCCGTAATTAGAGTTCTGTGACACAAAGACCATCAGTCAAATCCTGAGAGCTCCTTCATTTCCATATTTTTGAATATTCTACTTAATTATGCAAAGGGAAGAGTGAGGTAGGCGAGAAGTTTTAAGAAAGCATCATAAAGTCCCTATTAAGAGCAGAGGGGATTAATGACAGTTAATATGAGGGCAATCAAACATTTAATGCAAAGGCCCTCCTGCAGGCAAACAGTATTTAAATGAGTCAATTAGACATTCATTATCTACAAGCGCATAAGTGGAGTCAGATCTGCATTAATGTTCGTGCAGAAATCCACTCCCCTCTAAGGAGGAAGTAATGAAATATAAAAAAAAAAAGTTAACAACTTAGACATGGCAAATGTACAAATATTGATTGCTAGAGGGGTGGTTACATGTTGTCGTCAAATCAGGCGAGATATCCACTGCAGATTGTCTCATAAATCATAATTATTAAGTTAGCATGATCTCTCCTCCCAATTAGCTATGTAGCATTGTGGATGTGAAATGAGAGAAGGGGACGCCCTCCAATTGTCTATTTTAAATTTGATATCTCCACTGTTAGTGCCACTAAATTATTTCCAAGATACCACCTTAAAATAAGTAGTTTACACAAAAACATACATATTCTGCACAGGATGACTTGAATAATGTACCAAACTATGCAGATATATCATTGTCAGGAGCTCCTCCCCCC